GTTTTAACAGGTTTGACTTTTCCAGTCACAAAAATTGACCAAATACCTTGCTTCCTTGTAGTGTGGTTTCTTCAAGAGAAATAAGAAAGATCATTATGATGCCACATATCACAAGGCTGAGATCCATGCTCAGCCATCTGATAAAGAGAGGCTTACTTCTGATGCATAGTATTGATCTACTTCTCTAATTGGTAATCGACCAGTATTTTTTAATTTCTAGCTGTGGCACACGCTGTGGTTGCGGTGGCTAACTGAGCTTTTGCTGCGTGTATTAACTGCTGGATTCCACGCTGTCAGTACCTGCTTACTTATTCTCTTGACAGATTTTCAGCTTTTGGTGCACGTGAACAGAGATGCCTACCTTGGTTTAAAAAGTTTTTATTTWTTTTATTTTWTTTTWTTTTATTTATTTAAAACCATCTTGATCTGCTGCAATGGTTTTTACTTTTTTGTATTTATATTTATATTTTAACAGTACAAGTTAGTTTTTAAACTTTAGAGATCAACACTCAGCAGAGGGTTAAGTTTTAAAGTTAAGACTATACAAAAGAAACTTGCTTTATTAACATTTATTGCATGCTAAAAAGTACATGTTACTCATAATGAGAGCAATTTTCTTAGTGAAAATATAATTGCTGTGGAAACATCTATTATCTCTTCAGTTCTAAGTTCCACTCTTCTGGGCACATACTTTCTCTGCTGAAGCTACTAGGTGCATGATGATTGATGCTTCTAGCGACCTTTGCACACAACTTAAGACAATAAGTGCATGTGTATTAACTAGTGGGGCTTGGGATGAGTGGGTGGGGAGAAATATGTAACTAAAATCCATCAATGTCATATATACTGGAAGGGTGGAGATGGCTAAAGATTTCGTCTAGGCCATTTTATTTTATTTTAATTCTATGCAAGTTTTAAAAATTAATGCAGAAACAACCTTTGCTCACCAAAATCACCAACCCCAAATTTATGAACAAACCCTGACAGTTTCATTTTGTATGCAAGCAGTAGTCAAGGACAGATGTCTGTCCTGCACTTAATCTCAACCTCATAGACTGTAAACACATAAAAGCTGAGTATCTACTTTGGCCATATTGCTGCAAAATGGTTATTGGTTGCACCAAAAATCCGTTTTATTTTGAAAAATAACTTCAGTCCCTCCTYAAATGAGTAGGATCAGTTTTTATGTGGTCTTTGGAGAAAAAAACCAAACAAAAACAGATACTGCAGGGCACAAATAAACTGGACTAGGCTTCACCTAGGGAGATTTGTGTCATCGTGGTAAATCACTGAACTGTTAAGCTCTGCCTGTTTGTCACTGCACAGCAAACTAAGCAAGACTTACATTCTAACACCACATGTGTAGTTCAGCCAAGATGTCTATAGTGGAAAACGTGGCCCTAGTGTAACTTTTCTTGAAAGCCCTAGGAATCTTTCTGATAAGTTTTTAAAAGAGAAATGATGTCACCTATAGCAGGATAGCRGCGTACACACCTTCCTTTTAATCAGGAGACACGCGTTCCTCARGTGTTACCTTTTTCACATCTATGCAGCAGTGAATAGTCTCACTAGTTGAGCAAATATCTTTCTTAAATGTAAAGACTTGTAAAAAAAATTTAGAAAGTTACTGGAAGGAATCTGTTAAAATCTCAGAATACTGAAATGTTGGACTGAGCAGTTTGTCTGCCATTGCTTGCTGTATTGAGACACTCAAGCACTTACAGCTAAGCACAGAAGGCTTTTGGCCAAGATCCCTTTCTTTTCCATGGTGTTACCTGTATGGCTGTGCGGAGGAGGAACGCACCGTGTCTGTAACTGCAGTACTGGCGCAGCGACTAACCCAAACTTGTTGTTTTTCTCCTCTGCGCCAGTGCGGGTTCTTCCAGCGCTCCAGGTACGATGACAGTGTTCCCCGCTATCATGCTGTAAGAATTCGGAAAGAAGAGCGACAGATCAAAGATGGGAAATACAAAGACCTTGAGACAAAACAGTGGATCACAAAATGGAATGAGAACGAAAGTTATTCTTAAGGCAAAGTTTTTCTCTCCACAAAGGTCAGCTAGTTGCTTTCATTAATGGAATACTCATGGAGTTGGACCTTTGTACACTATGGACATTCACTGTTTGATTGTAGATATTACTACTTATATTGAGGCTTTTGTTTGCACAGTTAAAATAGCTTCAACAGACTTTATTAGCATTATTTAATTTCCAGACTGCCTCTTTTTCCTTTTTTTTTCCCTTCAAATCTAACACTCACTTTAGAAGATGCTGTTTTGATCTGGGTCTTTTCTGCACTGTGCACATCCACTGTGGCAGACCTTCTGCTACGATCCCGACATTCCTGGTGTGCAGGGAGTGCCTGGTTACCATCCACGTGGGGTCTCCTGGCTTCCCCCCGGGCACACAGTGGCCTTCACATACTTTGCTCCAGTGAAACCTGAAGAGCTCCTCATCTACATTAGCCRTAAGCTTTGCCTGCTGCAGTAATTAGGGCTTAACAAAAAGCATCGTCTTAAATTACATGTGCAATAGGTCACGTGGCTCAGTTTTTAAGATCAGATTRCGCGAATCTTGCTCACACCAAATATACACAGGTTTTTTTTAAAGAGAGGCTTGAATATTAGATGTACTTTTTGTATATATCTTTTAGTCATTTTTGTATTTATTTTGTTATAAATCATTGTCTTTGACTAACCATTAGGCCAAAGACTTAACTGAACCTTCAAACTCACTGTGTTTATGAACTTCAGATGACAAGACCTGAAGCTTTCAGAGCATTTTAATAAATCACTACAGGTGCCAATGCTTTCTAAAAATGTAAATATCTATTCCAGGGATGTACGTGGGCGCTTTTTTCCCGATACTTATTCTATGTAATAGGAACTACGAGGTCTTGTAATATGGTTTATATATTACTTCAGAATATTTAATGATTTGGCCACCAAGCAGAAACATGGTTTTAAGTAGAATTTTATACTTGCCTCCAGGGAAGCGACAGGTTCTCTGGAAACAGCTTCACAAGGATTTTCTGTTTGGAGAAGTGTTGACTACTGCATCTGTTGTATAGCACTTGAAGGGGGCTGCAGAGGCCTAACGTACCTTAATTACGGGGATCTGGGATGGTCCTCTCTGAGACTACTGAACTGTCTTGAATACCTGAATGTTGATAAGAATAGAGCCACAGTGTTGTGCTTATGAGTAATCTAATTATTGTAGCATAAGTGATTTAAATACATAGCTATTTAAAAAGTTTACTTTTTTTTTTACCCATGTTCTAAAGTGTTGGTACTATTTAAGAATGAAAAAAAAAAATAGCTCACATTGTTTATTCCAAAATTCTACTCGAAGTATGTACTATGTTGCTAGTAATTTGAACTATGCAAAAACCTCTTTGTACTTTTTCCCTCCCAGGTAGAAACCTGCYGAGAGGGCATTTGTCAGGTGTCTTATTTGTACTACCAGCTTTGAGCGTATCTATTGCAGAGAGGGCGTTCGTGTCTTAGAGCCTTCCCGCGGCGTGAGCTCAGGCCCACTCGGTGGTCTGAGCCTCAGCACTTGCACAGCTGTGCAGCTCTGCGGCTTTGGGCCCTTAAAAATTCCAGTTTATTTGCTGAGAGGCTCATCTGTGTTGGAAACCAAATGAGGTGCTAAGAAGCTTGAAAAACTGCTGTAGCCTTTGATTTAAAAGCACTGGCTTTCCCAGCCTGCCCCCTTAATTGTGACGGCTGTAGGAACAGTTAACAGTGTTAACCTGAAAGCTTTTGCAAAGCAAGTCCTATCACTGGTGTCCTTTCATTCTGAACRTTTATCACTGGTATGCTTTTGTCTCAAAACATTTTTATACCAGCTAGCAATGCTACTTCATTCCGTGATTAGAAATTACCTGTGGATATTTGTATAGAAGTGTGAAATAAATTTTTTTAATTAAACATTTATTTGAGTAAACATTTCTTCTTAACTGCATGAATTTATTTCAGCTAAGCTCACTAGTCCAGTAGGTGAGCAGGCAGCAAGCCRCAAGCTTTAATGAAGTGAAACCATTAAAGTAATAGCTTAAAAGAAAAAAAAATAGAGAGGAAGAAAAGCCCCATCTCAGTCCACACCTGGCCCTGTCTCTGCAGGACCTTGCGCAGGGAGGTGGCTCTGGAAGCTGCCCGATAGCGCCCGGGCACGGGCCCGCAGCCCGTCCTGCCGACAGCAGCAGAGCCGCCCTGGCCCCACGGCCGCCCTGCCCCACGCAGCCCCACCACCCAGCTCCCCTGAGCCCGAGGGCAGCTCCTGCTGTGCCC